ATAAGGAGAATGATGTTTTCTTATATATTGAACTTCACATTAGAAACTTTATTAGTAGAATTAGTTAATTAAGAGTTTGTTAAAATTACATTTTTATTTCAATTGCATATTAGTGATAAATATGCAAATTGAACTATATTATTGTGATTAAGTATTGATTTTTTTAAATCTTAGTTCGTAATCTCTAATACCTGTGGTATCGATATCCAGGGCTCCATTAGAACCTTGTATTATTTGAGCGATACGTATACTTGCGTTAATAAGTGTGTTTTGCAATTATTGAATATTTTCTACACATCTTTATCAAATCTATAACCGTTATCAAGTTTTTGTGGCGCCGTTGTCTGGGATTTAAATCTTATAGCAACATTATCAAATTCTTGTATTTTTAAGCATATATAAAGTCGTTGTCAATGAGTTGCTCGTTGTCAATGCGTTGCGTCTTGTATGTGTTAGCTTGCATGATCATTATCATTTGTTTGATGCACCTCTTCAAGTCACTGCCTCCACAACACACCAATTTGTTTGGGCCACTACCTCTACGATATGGCCACCCTTCGGGTCACTGCCTCCATGGCACGCTCACCTTGTCAGGTGACTACCTTCATGGCACACTCATTTGTTCGGGTCGTTGCTGCCACAACACGTCCATCTTTGGGTCACTGTCTCTACGGCACACCCATTTGTCGGGTCACTGCCTCCATGACACACCCAACTTGTCGAGTTACTGCCTCCATGACACACTCATTTCTCGTTGTCTCCTCGGCATGCCCTCCGTTCGGGTCACTATCTCTACAACACACCCATTTTTCGGGATGTTGCCTGGGTCGTCGCCTCTATGGTGCACCTATGGTTGTCAAAAAAGCTCGTGTTCACTAACAGCTCATGTTCGGCTTGTTAAGTAGCTCGTGTTCAACTCGTTTGTTAAGTAAACAAGTCGAACACAAACAAGTTTTAAAAGCTCGAATTATAAATGAGCTGAACACGAACATCTCTTTGTTCGCTCATGTTCAGCTCGTTTTAGCTTGAATAATATATATATATATATATATATATATATATTACACATATTATAATAATATATTATATATATTTATATCTAAGTTTAAATCGTAACTACTTTTGTGGTAATGTGGTTTTGCATCTTGTTTTGCATACATTTGGTTCGGGTTTGAATTCAACACTTCATCTATTTTTTCAGTTTAATTTTAACGAGCCAATTTTTAGCCGAACACGAACACGAATATTTAAATCGAGCCGAACACGAAAACACTATTCACGTGCCATTTTCGAACACGAGTCAATTTCGAACACGAATGTTGACCTCACTTTTGGGTGAGGGTTTTGGGGCTTTCCTTTAGTAACTAGGATCTAGTCTTAGGATTTTCCTGAAGACTATCTTAGTATCTTAGAAATGGTACCCAACTTCTCCGTAGACATTGCAACCAAATTTGTGTTCTCTATGTTGGTTCTATATGTGATCACTAGTTTTTAATACAAAGATTAGAGATTACATAAGGGAACCCTGATGAGAATTCCTATAGGACCTTTGGACCACAGGAAAGTCTTGCATTACTCTACACCTTTTTTTGGACTTCAATACATTGCATCATCATTCATAATCCTCATGATCATCATAAACATTGCATTTTCATATCACTAGGTTACAGATTACAACCATGAGGCTGACTAAAATTATTTGAACCCAATTTCTCCTAAAATACCTCACTTGAATTTTCTAATTCTTCAAAATTTCCCAAAATTGCAATTGAATCACACAACCCACTTCAAACCATTTGATTTTATCATTTAGACCATTTGATACCCAAAAATTGCAAAAATACCCAATTTTCCCAAAAATTACCAAAATGCCCTTGGACTCCCAAAATATCAAATTTTCCAAAATCTCCCAGAGTCACCGATAAGTCCTAAAAATCACACCAAATAATTCCTTATGTCTTCCTGAGAATTTTGACTGTAATATTGTC